CAAAAATTGCATAAAATACCTGCATTGGAAACGTAATCATCGCTCACATGGATCAGGGTGTGTGCATGCATGATATGATGTTTTCTCTGCTACAAAGACATTGGCATTGCCACCTCAGCCCTCCTACAAGGGGTTAGTCTTCTACTGGCTTATATGTCAGAAAAAAAAATAACATTATCAATACTGAATGCCAGCTCTGAATTAACACTAATTCCAGGAGGCTCAAGACTTTACTGCGATCCACAAGACAGGCTTGGGAGTCAGGCTATCTATCTAATTTCAGCTGCAGTCCCTTTTGGAAAAACAGGTCATCTGGATCCCAAACCTATCCCATGGTGTTTTTTCCTTCAGTTCGGAATGCATATGTGGAACACATGTACCTATTAAGTAGAAAAATTCCCACACCAGTCCCTCAACCTGTAGAAAGTGGGCTCTCCCTGTGAGAAAGCCAGGTGGGAGCTACTGGCATGATTTCTATCTAGGAAAACACTATGGCAAAATCAGTACCGCATTCTTGGAGAGATTGTGAAGATTAGTATCAGATCAAAGAACTGAGGGATGAAGAGATACTGATTTCTACCACCTCCCCATTCAATTTGTCTATCTGGACCATATAGAAAACAGATGGGGAAAGAGCACATGGAGATATCTCTCTAGATTGGAACAATCATAAAAGGACTAGCCTATATAAAAGCACATCAAAAGATTACAACAGCAATAGAGGAATTTTAATAATCAAATATGGCCAATTCTATAAACATATTTCAGCTTCTTTCCCCCAAGCAATCCCAGTCAAGGTCCATTGGGCTCATGGTCAAAGAAGCCATGATGCCAGGAATGGAGGTTATACATAGGCTCCGCAAACAGGAAGTGCTCTCACCAAGGTTTACCTGACTATGGCCAATGCTGAGTGCCCATTCTGCTTGTAGCAAAGACCAACACCAGTTCCCCTAGGTTATCAGACACACATCTGGCAGTAAGTCCATTGCAGTGGACAGCTTCAATCATGGAAGGAGCAGCATTTTGTTCTGACTGATAGACACACTTATTCTAGATCAAGATTCACTTTTCCTACATATAGTGCTTCTATCATGAGCAGACCTACAAAATGTGCTCTCCACCATCCAATCAAAATACTCACTTCTCCCTAAACAAAGTGTGGCGATAATCTCATGTTGACAAATTACTGTTCTTAAGTTCCTCACAGTCCTAAAGCAGGCAGTCAGACAAAACACTGAAATGATCCTGTAATGAGTCAGTGACATTGTCAGCTAGTTCTGGCAAAGTTCCCTAGAAAGCTTTATAAGGTTTGCATTGGTACACAATAGAAATAACCTTCAACTTACAATGGAATTATTTCCCAAAAAAAAGGTCATGAGTTGAAATATAAAATAAAACATGTGATTAATAGGCCAAAAATGCTGAGCATGACGGTTTAGCATCCCATCACACTGCAGAAAACCAGCTGTTTATCCTCATAGCCATGTGTCTGACTTGGAGCTGAGGGTCACTGCCACCGCCAAACAGTCCAAGAGAGTATTTCATGTCATATCATTAGGACAGGGGATCAAAATTCAAAATGGAAAGTACAGTTTTTACAGAATGCATAATACTTTGGCATTGCATTAAAGTGGAAAAATTTCAAATTAAATATGTCTTGGCCCATCTGCAAATGATACTGTTTCTATCACAGCCAGAATTTGTGAGTTACAAAAATCAAGGAGCAACCCCACTTGCTAGTCGCTCTAGTGACACACCAGGAAACCGCTCTTCCTGTTACAGAAACTTTATGTTCACGAGGCCTAGACTCTTCGTCCCAGACGGAAGAATCTTTCCAACAGAAAACACAATTCCCTTGAAATGGACATTAAGACTGCCACTCGGCCATTTGAACTCCTCATGCTTCTAAATCTACAAGCAACGAAGGACATTGGTGTGATGTCTGCAGAGATCGATTCTGACACGTAAAGGGAAAATGGGCTGCCACTGCACAATATACATCAGAAACAGACAAGTGTGGAATACAGGAGCTCCTCTGGGACAGCTCTTACTATTAACCACGGCCAGTGATTAATGTAAATGGAAACTGCAACAGTCCAATCCATTCAGGATGACTACTGCCTCAGAACCTTCTGAATAAAGGTTTCAATCACTCCATCAGAAAACGAATGATAAGCAGCTTGCTGAAGGCAAAGAGAATACAGACCAGTTAATGGAATGAGGTAGCTACAAAGTCAAGCTACAGGGGCAGGCATTGTGTTGTGCCAGGTTGACTGCACCACACAGCACTAATTTCCCTCATCAGCATCAGTTAAAGCACTGACAGGTCTAATTCCAATCAGCCTGTCTGCTAAGGCGACTAAGAAGGCAGAGGAAACTGGCCCATGTGCTTGGGCTCCTGACACTCACATGAGAGACCCATATGGAATTCCAGGCTTCTATCTTGGATGTGACCAGATCTATCTACTGTATGTCCATTTGGGGAATAACCAGACACAGAAGATTCCTTTAAGTCCCTTTCTCTACGTCTCTCCCATTCTCTCTGTAACTAATCTTAAACAAAGACTGTTTACAACCATATGACTGGTTATACATATGTGCCATATATCTTTACTATTTTCTCCCTTATTCCTTTATCATGTAAGATCAGATGAATTATTTTTAGATCAGAATTCAAGTACTATTTACATCACATTATAGTATTTTAAGTTATAATATACCAAGCAGAAGAGTAAGTAACCCATCTCCCAAGGACTCTTCCTTTCTTTCTGGAGAAGAGGTTAGTGTTTTCAATTGCACATAAGATAACTATGTCATGTTAACCAGGATCATAACACTATTATTATCCCTACTTGGTGGCTAAACACAGTTCACAGAGATGGATGTCAGTGCTAAGGGGACAAGGGATGGACTTGTGATGTTTAATTGCATGTGTTGATGGGACCGTGACATGAGGTAGACAGACACTTGGTTAGGACAATCTTTCCAGGTGTGTCTGTGAGGGCAAGATTAGTTCTGAACCAGCCGACTGATGAAAGCACAAGACTCTCCACTGTGGGTAGGCACTCTCTGATCCTTTAAGGGTTGCAATGATTTCAAAGGTCAAGAAAGGAGGGATGTCCAGTCGAGCTGACCACTGACCCCTTCCATCAGTGCTGCCCACTCTAAGGCCTCCATACCTTGGCTAGAACAGCCAACTCTCCTGGATATTCATTTCCCAGATGTCAGATCACAAGACCGTCAGCCACCCAATTTTATGAGACAATTCCTTATGAGTCTCTTTACATATATAAACAAATATGTGCATATACACACATATAAACACATATATGTAATACATATACACACGTGTTTTTGGTTGATTATTTCACTATTACAAGGCCCTATTTCTATTATTTCCTGTTTCCAATAAGTGAATACCAAATCAAGTGTAAAATATGACTCCACAAGGTGTTAAGAAGTAAATTATTTCAAAGCAGTCATATTAATAAGATAAAATTTAAATTCATCTTGTTATTAAAGCAACTAGTATCAGTAGATTATGTACCAGTACAATATGCATTACAGAAAAAGTTACATACAATAAACTCAGTAACTATACATTTTCTTCAGTTTTAGGTTTTGAGCATTATTTTATGATAAAATCATAAAATTTTAAAGCTTTTAATAATTATTGGTTACTAAAAAATTATTGGCTACTAGAGATAATTTTTATGCGATACAAAATTTTTATTTAATTTCAGCTTCCCTTTTCTTAACCTCTGCTTACTATTCCAAAAACCAAGTAGATATGTTTGGAGATTAACAAAAACTTAGAAGAAATGAATAATGCATATGACCTTAGTTAAGTCAGTGTGCTTATCATATAATTATATTTAAGTTACAAAATCCAATGAGGAAGTTGTTGATTTCATAAAATATTATTTTTAAAATTTTTCCTTTCAGTTTGTTCTTCTGAAAAACATAGGATGTTTGGATGATGCCCACTTGAGGACTTAATTTTTGCTGTTGTTAATCCACTTTGTTCTACAACAAACATTGTGTGACTTTTAATACTTTCCTTCATCCAAAAGTAGCGTTGCAGCACTTGTGACATTCTGACTCGGCTAATTACTGGCTGTGGAAGCCTTGTTCTGTCACTGCACACTAGTTAGCAGCCTCCGTGGCATCTACCTGCTAGATGCCAGTGGCATCCACAAAGTTATGACCATCACAAATTTTCCAAACATCCCAAATACCCCCTGCTAAACAAAATTGCCGCCAGTTGGTAACCACTAACCTAAACACACACATACAAAAAGAAATTATGACATCACTATCAATGCTTGTCTGACAGGAAACCATGGAAATAATTTTAATACTATCCCATACAAACCTATTTACGTCGATATGTTGAGGTTATAATCTTTTTAAAGACTGATTTATTTTCATTGGAAAGGCAATTTACAGTGATGAGGGTCACAGAGTAAGATCCTCTGTCTGATAATTCACTCCTCCAGTGGCCACAATGGCCAGAGCTGAGCCAATTGGAAGACAGGAGCTTCTTCTGGGTCTCCCACGTGGGTGCAGGGTCCCAAGTCTTTGGGCCATCCTTTACTGCTTTCCCAGGTCACAAGTAGGGAACTAGAAGGGAAGTGAAGCAGCTGGGACACGAACAAGCAAGCATATGGAATACCAATGTGTGCAAGGCAAGGACTTCAGCCACTAGGCTACCATGTGGATCCCCAGTTATAATATTTTTTTAAAACCACTTTTGGAAAGTTTTCCTAAGGTTATCCATGAAAACATGTTATTACATCCAAAATAGAATTTAGACCAATGACAAATTTGAGCACCAAACTGCAATCTGCCTTTACACAGTATCAGGAAATAAATGTTTCCTATGTATTTTCTAAAGCTCTTAATGAATATGATTTTTTTGTACAGTACTGATAAATAGTAAGCTAATATTCCTAAAGTAGTAGTGTTAACTATATCACCATTCACAGACAAATACTAACCATACTGCAGTTACTGTTGGCTGAAATGCATTTCTTGTCATCACACCACTGGCACCCATTTGTATTGGCAGTACAGCTGGCACAATCTGCATATCTGTAACATCTGTCATCGGAAGCAGCTGTGTAATATGAATAGGAAGAAAAGAAAATGCTACATTTCTTAACTCACTCATATATAACATCCATTTAGGGATCACTAACTCAGTTTTTAACCAGAAGAACAACCTTTACTATCAAACTAAGTTCCGTAGTATGCAGGCAGTTCTTAGTATAATTACCTGTTCAGATTTACATGCCTCCTAGTCCCATATTAAATATCCAATCCACTAGGATACTACAGCATTTTAAACTGACATGTTTTGGAAAAGGAAAAAATTATCCAATATAAATCATAACAAGTACTATTGTTTATTACTATTTAAAATAGAGATATATCAGCAAAATTTCAAAACGTATTTGTGAATTTCACCACCAAAAACAAGTGAAAGACTGTAACCATTTAAAGAAAACTGAACATATTAATCTATATAACAGTTAAATAAATATTGACTAATAATATTTCTTAAGTATAATTTAGGTATTCAATATTACATTAGGAATATAAATTGGAAAAATGGTCATTATATTCTAAAAAAAAAATGTTTAAACTTTATAGTATACCATGACAATAATTCATGATAATACCAAATAAAAAAATGAATAACTTTGTTATTTCTTTGAAGCACACAGTATTTCTTTCAAAATAATCTGCATACCCATAAAATCATGCTGCACATACAACAGTGATACATAATGTATAAAAATTTCAAAATAAAACATCTAATAGATATTTCAAATTATCAATCATTAAGCTCTATCATTAGAATTTCCAATTAACAAGTTATGAATTTCTCATTTGTCAAATCTACCAAGATATTTTCGAAAAACCTAATCCATTTCTATTTCTAGACCAATAAAGAAACTGTTGCCAAGAAGGAAGGAGTGAAAAAAAATTCACCTGTTTTAGGGGGGCACTTCGCTCTAAGAATATTATTAGTATTTCCAGATTCCCAAGATTCACAATGATTTTTATTCCAAACACATTTTATTCCTGGACCAGCATTCTTACACAGATCTTCATCCCTGAAAGCCTTGCAGTTGGGAGGCGTGTACACAAGGATGTCACTGAGGAGCACACTGGAAAATCCCCCAAATATGTACATGGACCTATCAGAAACAAAACAGAAACCCTGAGAAATTTTTAAAAGTGTAACAAATCAATTTCAAAAAAACATTTAATTATCTATATTACATTATTTTTAGAGACTACTGTCAACATATGTTCTTCAAAGTAATCTTTCTGACACAACATGTGAAAACTGCAACAATGTTTTTTTCTGAGAGAATGTCGATTATGCTATAAGTATATTGTATAAACAAAAGCTAAAGTGTTTAAAATATCTATGCATTTCCATTGCAATAAAAAAGAAGGCTCAGGGACTAAATGCATGATTTTTAACAAAGAAAACTCTTGTTTCAATGAGGTAGGGAGTCATTTTTAAAGGAACAGTTTATAGTTATACATGGATATGATACATATTTAGAGTAACTGGAATTACTATTTTAGAATAGAAATAAAAGAATTACGAATTAAACATAGCACTCTGTTTTTTTTTTCCTTTTTCCAATTTTCTAATTGGAAAGAAAGCTTAGACAACACTAACCAATAATAAACAATGTCAAAGAAGTTTAACATGGCCTTGAGAGAGCATAAATATTATTTCCAGGTGTTTTTTAATACAATGAATGCAAAATCTAAAATGTGCTTCATAAATACATGTTATTATTTGCAAAGCAAAATAAAAATCAACCAATTTAATTTTCAATGGAAGACTACTTTATATTTCACACTAATTTTCAGCTATTTTTGAATTTGCTGAGTAGTTTATTTTGGAAGACAATTGATCATTTATCTACTTTCATTGTAGTTAACAGTGAAGAAGAATACACAATTACAGCCAGGCAATAATAATGTAGACAATACAACAGGATCTGAAACGTTATCTCAGCAACTCTCCTCGGACTGTTCTCCTACTCCTTAAATATATTTAAGTAAGAAATAATGAAAGATATGGTTAACAAACCAAATATATTCCAGGGTATGCTAATGATATCTAAAACCCAATGCCAGTACGTACTAATGGAAATTTTCAAAAAAAAATATAGCAGAATACATGAATATGCAAAGAACAGATATCCTTCACTCTCCAAAAATTTCAAAATGTGCTTAGTTTACCCATTAATGACTACTGCAGAGTGTCCAAATCTGTTGACATCTCTATGAAGATTTGGTTTTGGTAATATTTTCCATTCATCACAAGCTGAAAAACAGAAAATAGAAAAATGAATAGTAAAATAAAATAATAAACTAAGACAAATACTATGAAATAATCCATGACCAAATCAAAAACACAACATTTAAAATGAGGAACCAAAAAAATAACCTGATTTTTTGTACTACCTGCAATTTACTGTCAATAATCAATAATGCCACTCCTTAAGTAAAAATACTTATTGCTTAAAATTCCTACAAACAAGTTTAAATATGCATAATAATAAAAGATACAAGAGGAATTGAATTAAGTATACTTTATACTGGAAGATAATTTCATTGACATATCTTTAGGTAAATATACCAAATCTCACACAATAAACTCTTGAGTATCACCTATCAAAAAGCTAAACATTAAATAAAATATTACATGTATGCATTAAAAAATCAATTGTTCTTATATTTACTGAAATGTTTGAAAATATGATCATAAAACATTTAAGTCACTTTATTTCAAAGGAATGCTGTTTATTTTATGGAGAGGAGAATGATTTTGAGAAAGAATTAGATAAAAAATAATGTGCATACTATGTACATTAAATAAAATAAATAAAACAGTATATATCAACACAACCTTAAATTTGATATATACAGTGACATAAATTTTGAGATTTCAAATTGCCCAGAATTCAATAACCAGGTACTCTCAAATCATCATCTGATACTTCCATATCTTGATAAAATATTTTCTTAAATATTCATATAGGCATAAAAGGTATTTTTTAAAGATTTATTTATTTATTTTTATTCGAAAGCCAGAATCACAGAGAGAGAAAGACAGAGCGATCTTCCATCCACTGGTTCACTCCTCTAGCTGCTTCAGTAGCAAGGCTGTGTCCAGGTGGAAGTTAGCAGCCAGCAGCTTTATCCGAGTCTCCTACCCAGTCAGCAGAGCCCTACACACTTGGGCCATCTGGCACTGCCCTTCCCAGGCCTACAACAGGGAGCTGGGCTCAAAGGTGAGCACTAAAGACAGCAGCTTGACATGCAACACCATAATGCTGGCCCCATAAAAAGGTTTTTAAAGAAAATTTTTTAAAGTAGTAAAGATGCCCTTGTGGAACAAGAAAAAGGTTTTCAATATTTTTATCATAAATAAATGATAAATGATTAAGGTATTATATATATATACATATACTAATACATATACTAATATATATGCTAATGTCAACGAAAACTGGTATTATCTAAAAATTAGGTCTTTTAAAGACTTTTTCCAACCCCGTAAGCCACTGTCTTTCAGAATAATTTTTAAGCATAGTGAATAATCCAAAAAATAGCATTATAAACACATTTAAATCACTAGTCAGAGCTTTTAATAATTACAATGCTTCCTTGGGGATTACTTCTCTTTTTTTATGAATGTCATTAACATTTTTGTTCCCTTGTTATTGAAGAGAGTGGCGAGGAGAGAATGAAAGGGGAAGGAGAATCCTCCATCCACCTGTTCACTTCCCAAGTGCCTGTAACAGCCACAGCTGCGCGAGGCAGAAGCCAGGAGCAAGCAACACAATCCCACTGCCCCCACATGAGATGCAGGGACTCAGGTGCAGAGCCATCACCTGCCGCCTAGCAGGATGGACAGCAACAGGATGCAGGAACGAGGAGTGCACTTTGACAGGAGATGTAGACATCCTCACACCATCACAATGACTACATTCAACACCCGCCCCAACGCACGTCCCAAAAGGCAGATCCGATCTCGTCACTCCCTTGATTCAGATCCTTCAAGAACTAGCTACCATTCTCAGACATTCCTATTTATTTATTTCTCCTGTGGGATTTTGTAAAAAATAATAATAACTTTTCACTGATATGACAAATTCTCTGTGTACTCCCCGACCAATGCAAATTTATTTCTTCTTTCTCTTGGAGCACCAAATCCCAAAGTTGCTTAGAAATGTTTCTACATTGATAATGTAATATGTTTATAAACCGCAGGATTTTATTTTATGAATGGTATGATGCCTTATGGAGCATTCTGCAACTAGCTTATTTTACACAACCCACTTACTGTTTTCATTTTTTAAACTATTTTTACCACTTTAAAATTAAATATGCTCTTCAGCTTATGAAGAGGATACGCACTAATACATTCATCATAAATTAAAAATATTGTAAGTCAAAAACACACTTAACAAATTTGCCCTTCTGAGCAATATAGCTTCGCTCCATGTGCTCTGCAAGCATTCACTCCTCAACCCTAGAGCTACGTGGCCGACTGGGGCCACGCTCACTGCCCCTTCCAAGCCCTGTGAGAGGGCATCCAAAAACATACCCTTAGATCAGGAAAAGATGTGCAATTTGAAATAGGATTTCTAATTTGCCACCATTAGGAAGCTAAGAACCGGTAAGTAGGACCATTCTGAGTGGAGGATTATATGTATATAGTTTAGCAACAAATTCATATTGGGCAACAATCACCATCAGCCATCTCTAGAATCTTCTTGATCTAGTAAAGCTGAAGTTCTATCCCAATTAAAGAATAAATTATCATTAATCCCTCCTCCTGGTGCATGGCAACCATCACTCTGTTTTCTGCCTCTGTAATTTCATCTTCTCCAAATACCTCATCTGAATGCAATCTTATTTTCCTTGCCCTTTTCTCACTGACTGCATTCCCTTAGCATGTCTGCAAGATTTGAAAGAACAATTTATGGTATAGCATGTATGACAGTGCTCATGTCTTTATGTTCATTATGCATTCACATAAGCACACATGTGAAACACACACACAATATGTACTTCCAAAGTTTGTGGGAAGGAAAGTGAAATTAAAATTAAATTATTTTGAAAAAAAAGGAAAGAATTCTTAATACATTGAAAAAAATTAAATTATTTTGGTGCAAATCTGTATGTATAGAATTATATATATGTGAGAGGTACTCGGTATGAAAGGACCATGTTTGGATTTAAAAGTAAGGTTCTGGGGCCAGCACAATGGCTTACACACTATTCCTCCACCTGCAAGTGCCAGCACCTCATATGGGCACCAGTTCCAGTCCCAGCTACTCCATTTTTGATCCAGCTCCCTGCTTACGCCTTCTTGGGAAAGCAGTAGAGGAAGGCCCAGGTGCTTGGGCCTTGCATTCATGTGGGACACCCAGAAGAAGCTCCTGGCCCCTGGGTTCAGATCACCTCAGCTCTAGCTATTGTGGCTATTTGGGGAGAAACCAGCAGATAGAAGAACTTTCTCTCTGTCTCACCATCTCTTTGTAAATGTTCCTTTCAAATAAAAATAAATAGATCTTTAAAGAAAATGTTTGCACCAAAATAAACTTACTTTTTAATTCAATTTTTCCAAATGTTTTGAAGCCCACTTACAATATTGCTATGTTTATATATTCACCCTTCAAGAGACACAGGGGCAGATGGTGCTGCTCTCTTCTGCTGTTTTGAATAACGCTTGTGTGAATATGAGTATACAAACACAGCTTCATGCTCCTGTTTTCAATTCACTTGTAAACAAGCAGAAACTGAATGCGTAAGTCACAGATTCAATGTTTAAAGAACAAACACACTGGTTTTCAGCCGTGATTGAATCATTTTACATTCTCATCAGCAGAGCCCAAGAAATTCAATTTCTCCACATTTTAATCTACTTATTTTCTGGGGTTTTTTTGCCATACAATCATCCTAATGAACACTACACACTGCTTTATAATTTAAATAATTACACAGATATTAAAATGCCACACCACATTCCATAAATATATACAATTTCCATGTGTAAATTAAAACATACAAATTCTTCTAGCTGTCCCACTGGGTCACAGACTGACTCGGAGATCATGACTTTCCCCTTCAGAGTGTAGCTGCATATGCATAGATAGCAAGCAGCATTTGGTCTTCAGTCATCACAGTAGCGAAACTCCCCTGAAATATCATACATTTAAAATAACATTCCATCCCAGAGACAACAGGTGGCAAAAATCACTATCACCCTACAGAGCCTACACAATGCACAGTAATAGAAACAGAAGAGCCCTATTTAAATCTACCAACTGTCTTATGAATAGTTAAAAAAAAAAAAGAAAGAAAGAAAAAAGCATGAATGGTGACCATCACAAACAGTAGAGCCCAAACTGCAAGCACCATGCAAGATATGAGTCTTTTTTTTGGCAAGACTGACAAGGACATTTAATTGGCAAACATATTCTTTGCTAATCTTATTGGAAAAGAGGATCAAAACCAGTACATGTCCAAATAAAATATAAAGTAGTACATAATCGTAATTTTGCCTCAGTGAGGTATTGATTCTCCTATCACCTATCGTAACAAAATCTATTTGATCTAACTGAATATCTTGCAGATATTAATGAATCAAGCCAATAGACAATAGCAAATATGATGGACACCTTGTTTGGAAGTAAACATGCTTCAAAAATAGAAGATAAAATCTATAAAGTTTTGTATTGATAAACAACAAACAAACATACAAACAAAATTTCAGGGGTCCAATAGTCAATAACATTCTAGAATTTTACCTGAATTAAAATTAACCACTTACTACGTCTTGTAGTAAGCTAACCATTTAGTAGATCTCTTTTTGGTTCAGAAAACAGTATATTCCACTGTTAGGAATCTGACTCGGTCCAAATACTAGAAGACATAAAAAGCTGCCAGCTTTAACTGCATGCCAAAGCAGCAAATAGCTCTGCTATAGCCATAGTCTACACCACATGCAGCTCTGCAATTAGAGCCATACAATCCTACAGAACTATCTAATCTATTGCTTGTGTCACTGTTGGGAGACATGGCATGTGCAATTGATGGCATGCCCGATGAAGGAACCAAAATGCAGTCTCCATATACCCAAAAAGGTCATCCTACCTGTAGTGGGAATTCAAATACTTCTATCCTTATCCTGATGTAAGACCCTAGCAAACACAATTTTTGTTAGCCATATGTAATAAAATGTCTATATGTTCTGTTGTCCATAACTTTGCTCTGTCACAAATAATAACTAAGAAAGACACAAGATGAAGC